CTGCTTGTGACGTGTCCCCATTCTGATTTCTCCCCATTTATGCAAACTCTCTGCTGCCTATTTGTCAGCCATGCCTCTACCCAGGAAAAAATTTCTCCTATTCCGTGTGCCTTAAGTTTCCTCAATAGCCTCTGGTGTGGAACTCTATCGAAAGCCTTACTGAAGTCCATATACACAGTATCATATTCATTACCATGATCTACCTCCTCAAACACCTTAGTGAAAAAAGTTAGTAAATTCGTAAGACAGGAACGCCCCTTTGTAAAACAGTGTTGAGATTCATTAATCAATCTGTGCCTATCAAGATGGCTACGAATTGCTTCGGCAATTATTGATTCCATAAATTTTCCCACTATGGAGGTAAGGCTTATTGGTCTATAGTTTGAAGCCAAGGAACTGTCACTTGCCTTGTAAATAGGTATTACATTTGCCATTTTCCACTTATCAGGCACTATGCCAGTTTGTAGCGATATGTTAAAAAGATTAGCCAAAGGTATGCTAAGTTCCTCTTTACATTCCTTTAACACCCTTGCAAACAGTTCATCAGGACCTGGGGATTTGTTAGGTTTTAGTTTCTCTATTTGTCCGAGGACCATGTCACTAGTTACTGCAATCGTGCAGAGTTTATTATCATCCTGTTCTACATAATCTATTATTTCAGGAATATCGCTAGTATTTTCCTGGGTGAAAACTGAGAGGAAGTAGGTATTGAGAATTTCACACATAGCCTTATCACTGTCAGTGATCTGACCAGAGTTACTCTTAAGTGGGCCAATCTTGTCCCTAATCTTACTTCTGTATACCTGAAAGAGCCCTTTTGGGTTAGTCTTTGAATCCCTTGCGACCTTAGCCTCATAATCCCTTTTTGCTTTTCTTAATCCTTTCTTTATTTCTCTCTTTAATTGAATATACTGATTTCTAAACTTCCCATCCCCTCTTTTGATATGCCTATATATGCCTCTCTTTTGACCAATGAGATGTTTTAATCTATTGTTTATCCATTTGGGATAATTTTTGCTAGATCTAATTTCCCTACTCAGAACAAAAGTTGTCCCTGGCAGCTAGAACTATGCTCTGAAAAACGTCATATTGGCAGCCAAGATCACCTACCTGACCCATAGTCAGGACATCCCAATTTAGCCCACCCAGGTAATTTTTCAGTCCCATGAAGTCAGCCAAGCGAAAATCTGGGACAGAGATTTGATTGCAATTATCTGGGTAATTCCATGATACATATATTGAAACTAAGTGATTTGTGATCACTTTCCCCAAGCTCATCATTAACCTCAAGATTATTAATTAGTGTATCTTTGTTAGCAAGAACCAAGTCAAGCAGATCGTTTCCTCTAGTTGGTTCTGTCACAACCTGTTCTAAAAAGCAATCCTGAACCATATCAAGAAAGTCACTAGACTCAAGATTTCCTGTCATATTGTTCCGATCAATTTGTCTAAAGTTAAAATCTCCCATTATCACAACATTTTTATATTTAGATGCCTTATGAATTTCGTCCCATAACAGCTTACTTCACTCCCTATCAAGGTTTGGGGGCCTATAAATCACACCCAAAATTAATGTCACGTCCCTCGAGAAACTGTAACCAAACAGATTCTGTGTTCGATGTTCAAACAGATTCTGTGTTCGATGTTTTTAATCTTATATCATGTCTAAGACAACAATATAAATTTTCTCTGACATACATCGCCACTCCACCACCCTTCCTGTTGATCCTATCAGTGTGGAATAGTTTATAACCCAAACATCACACCAATCCTGTCAAACTCACCCTCTCTTACACACCCACTTACCCACCCTCACACCCATCTCATACTCACCCTCTCATATTCACCCACCCTCTACAAATACAAACTTTATTTCTTTGCATAGTACACAATGTGAGGTCTACATGTTATAAAATATTGGTAAACACAAAGAAAGCCACTAGCATGCCAGAACATTTCAGGCAGACTAATCCTAAAGCTTACAGACTACTTAAAATCAGAGAGGTTATGGAGCAGTAAATTCTAATTTTTCATTATTTTACATTAATACAAATGAGAGGCAGCCAAAAATTTTATAATTATTATGATTTATAATAGTGAGGTTGCAAGAAACAAATGAAAGAATTGTAATTAATCCCTTGACTGTCGCAACCCCAAATCCTGAGGTGTCTCCTGGCATCGCAAAATTTAAAAAAAAAAAAAAAAAAAAAAAAATCTTATGAAATGATAAGAGAATCTTTTCCTGATTGTAATAATACCAAAAGAACGAAATTTTATAGAAAACTGACGGAAATACGCTTTCGCGAAGTTAGCGACCTCGGCGATATTTACGAATCGGCGATTTCGCCCACTTTGAACCCTATTTTCGGCTAATTCCATTGTTCCAGTCGACCAAACTCATAGCTATTTCTTTAGAACTCTGTTCTTTCTATCGATTGAGTACAAGAAACTGCCCATGTACTGATTTCACTTACCCAATAACATAGTCAGAAATTTGCAATTTGGCCAATTTCACGAAAATTAAAAAATATGACAATTTCAAAATAGGGTCCAGAATGAATAATGCCGACATTTCTGACTCTAAAATAACTTTTTCTCTGTTCATCAGCCAGGCCCCTCTGATATTACTCTTGCTTTCTATTTTTAATTTTTATTCAAAAAAAAAAAAAAAAAAAAAAAAAAAATAGAAGATTTACTGTTATGCAGACTACTGCAATATTATAATAACTGTATAATGTCAACTCATTCATGACTGCATATTAGAATGGCTACTTGGACATTTATTGGAAATTGACATCATTTGTTTACTTTGAACATCGGCAAAAATCAAACATTTCCCCTTCTTTGAGCTCCATTTCAAGGTTCTTTTCATAATAAAGCCAATCAAAATCATCTCTATTTCTATAATATGTTTTCCATTCTATCAAAGGACACCAAGAAAATGAGAATACAACCATAAATACTATACGAAAATAGACCACAAATTCGTCATTTTAATTAAAAAAAAAACGGTCGGAGTTTTTTTTTCCCATTATGCACTGCGTGCTACAGGATTTTTTTTATATGGTGCACACTGACCACACAGACCCATTCTCTCACATGTGGGCCTACCAGCTTTCTCCTGCTTGATTTGAAGCCGCTAGAATTTATGAGTATATATACGTCAAAAACGGTGGCTCATAAGACATATATATATGACCAAAACAGTCAAAGGGTTAATACAATTTACAATATTACAACAGTACAATTTTAAGTGTGTGTTAATATTTTAGAATCATTTAGTGGTTTCTAAGTTATAAGGGATTACTGAGTAATTTCAAACTGGTTGAATGATTTCTAGCATAGTACAGTGCTGGTTTAGTTAAGTTTGGGAAATGAGATTTTTAATTATAGCCCTAAATTTATTTGCAAGCAGGGGACCTTTTGCTGGTTTGGGCAATGAATTCCAGATCTTGGGGCCTTTTATGTGCATTGCATTTTTGCATAGGGTGAGACAGGACATGAGGGATGTCAAACAGTTTTGTACCTTGTGCTGTGCCTGTGCATTCTGTTGTAGCTGTCAAGTAATAGTTTGAGAGGAAGGTTTACACTGGAGTTTAATGTTCTATAAATATAGTACGCACCATAATATGAGTGCATATTTTGTGTATCAAGTAGGTTCAAGTTCTTGAAGAGTGGAGGGGTGTGTTGTCGGGCACAGGAAGATTTTAGATAGTAAGCACAAGTCTGATATAGGCCTGTAGTTGCTCAATTCAGTTGGATCACCTCCTTTGAGGATTGGGGTAACCCTTGCTGTCTTGAGGATGGATGGGAAGGCTTAAGATTCCACTGATTTGTTAAACAGAGTTGCAGTAATGGGTGACAGCACATGAGTTTTTTTTGTACATGTGTGGTGGCAAGTTATTTAGGTCTCCTGCCTTGTTTTTTAGTGATTTTAATGATGAGAGAGACTTCAGTAGGATTAGCAGAAGCGACATATAGAGCATTAGGGTGGTTTCCAGTGAAGTAGTCTTTCACCTGAGTATTTGAGGCTGGGATTTTGCTTGTTAGTTTTCATCCAATAGTAGAGAAGAGGACTAAGTTTGTTGGCAGTGTCTGCAGGCTGAATGTGTGGTTCATCCAGTTTTGTTAGGTTTATATCTGTTTCTGGACAGTTTTCTGGAGCCCAGGATTTCAGAGAGGGTTTTCCAGGTTTTTTCATATCCCCTTTTATTTTGTTAAATTTCCTTGCATAATCGAGTTGTTGAGACTTCTGAGTTAGATTTGTAAGTATTGGCATGTATCATTTTGTCTGTCTTTTGTTACTAAACCGTGTCTGTAATAATGTTGGTAGAATTACCGACAATATGTAAAGTAAAAGGACACAAGTGCAACTAATATGACATTTTATTGTGGCAACGTTTCGCTCTCCAGGAGTGGCTTGACAAAGCTCCTGGAAAGTGAAACATTGCCACAATAAAATGTCACATTAGTTGCACTTGTGTCCTTTTACCTAAACCCTGTCTGAACTGTTTTTCATACTGGTGTTTTTTATCAATGGATTTGAGGATACTGGTTGTAATCCATGGGCTGTTTAGTCTCTTAGCTGTGATCTGCTTAGTTTTAACTGGACAATGCCATTCATGGTGTCTTATATTCACCCTCTCATACCCACTACCCACACTCAACTCCAGCCCAACCTCCCTCACACTTTCCCTTTTAAACTCTTACCCTCTTTCGCATTCACCCACGATCACACTCACCCTCTCACCGACCCACTCTCTCATACCTAATCACATTCTCAACTATTCTTACTCTTCCTTTTTCACACCCTCTCTGTAATTTTTAATAGGTCTGAGTGTTCTCTGTATCCAGTAGTGTCTTCAAAACCAACCAATATGAAAAATAAATTTCTTAATTTGGCAATAACAGACAATCAGCAATAATGTATACCCCCTCCTCCCCATTAGTCTGTTAAGTTAAGGGTTTGCTGTCAATTCATACTACAATACCATACATACTTTTTTGCGATTCTTTAATTCTTGTACTTCACGCTTAACATCGACCTCCGGTGCACCACTCTCCTTCAATTGGCGGACAATATCACCCTGGAATATAAAATAATTACATGAAAGAAAAAAGTGACTGACAGAAATGTATAACACATCAATACCGTAATTTGTGTACAATATGTGTGTGCATGAAGCGTGTTAGATAGGAGTGAATGGAGACGAATGATACTTGGGACCTGACGATCTGTTGGAGTGTGAGCAGGGTAATATTTAGTGAAGGGATTCAGGGAAACCGGTTATTTTCATATAGTCGGACTTGAGTCCTGGAAATGGGAAGTACAATGCCTGCACTTTAAAGGAGGGGTTTGGGATATTGGCAGTTTGGAGGGATATGTTGTGTATCTCTATACGTATATGCTTCTAAACTGTTATATTCTGAGCACCTCTGCAAAAGCAGTGATAATGTGAGAGTGTGGTGAAAGTGTTGAATGATGATGAAAGTATTTTCTTTTTTGGGATTTTCTTTCTTTTTTTTGGGTCATCCTGCCTCGGTGGGAGACGACCGACTTGTTGAAAAAAAAAAAAAAAAATGAAGAAAAATTGATTAAAATAAGAGAGTTAAGGCTACTCTTCTTCCTGAAGCAGCTAAAGTTACATCAGTTAACCCCTTGAGGGGTCCAGACCCCTAATCTGAAAAGTGTCCACAGGGTCCAAGAACTTTCAAAAAAAAAATTTTTTATTTTTTCTTACGAAATAGTGGAGATTCTTTTTCTGAAGATAAAAAAAAACAAATAGTATGAAAGTTGATGGAAAAGTGATGAAATTACGCTATCGTGAATTTTGCTGTGCCAGTGATCTTTACGCATCAAGAAGGTGCTGGACAGGCACCTAAAGTCAGTACCTGACCAGCCAGGCTGTGGTTCGTATGTCGGTTTGCGTGCGGCCAACAGTAACAGTCTGGTTGATCAGGCTCTGATCTACCACGAGGCCTGGTCACAGACCAGGCCGTGGGGGCACTGATCCCTGAAACCCTCTCCAGGTATACACCAGGCATCGGCAATTTTGCCCATTTTGAAGCCTATTTTAGGCCAATTACTTTGTTCCAGTTGACCAAATTCTTAGCTATTTCACTAGTATGTCTTGTATTTTATTGACAGGGCACAAGAAACTCCCCACTCAACTATTTCGACTACCCAATAAAGTGATCAGTTATTGATAATTTGGCCAATTTCACACAAATTTCAAGATCAGATAAGATTTCGTTTGGATTTTTAACCCCGGAGGGTTAGCCACCCAGGATAACCCAAGAAAGTCAGTGCGTCATCGAGGACTGTCTAACTCAATTCCATTAGGGCCCTCAATCTTGTCCCCCAGGATGTGACCCACACCAGTTGACTAACACCCAGGTACCTATTTTCTGCTCGGTGAACAGGACAACAGGTGTAAGGAAACGTGTCGAAATGTTTCCACCAGCCAGGAATTGAACCTGAGCCCTCCGTGTGCGAAGCAGGAGCTTTAGCCACTAGGCCACCGAACCACCGATTTCAAAACAGGATCCAGAATAAATAATGCAATCACTACTGGCACTAAAATATCCTCTGTTTATTAGTTACGTTTCCAGGCTTTACACAAATTCCATTTTGACTTTTTATTCAATGAATATTCTCACACCAAAAAATAGATTTACTGTTATGCAATAGTGCAATAACTGTATAAATAATATCAATGCATTCGTGAACGCATATCAGATCCACCAGTTAACATGTATTGGACGCGTGATGTGATTTCTTTATTCTTGAACATTGGCAAAAATCAAACAATTCCGCTACTTTGAGCCCAATATCAAGCTATTTTCAGTCCTAACACCAATCAAAATCATCTCTATTTCTATAATATATCTTCCATTCTATCAAATGAGACCAAGAACCCAAGAATACAACCATAAAAACCACGTAAAAATTCACCGCAAAGTTGCAGTCTTGAACCAAAAAACATGGTTGCAGTTTTTTCTCATGCACTGTGTGCTGCAGGATATTTTTTATATGGTGCACACTTACCACACAGACCCATTCTCTCATATCTAAGTCCAAATTTACCGTACACAGCTTATCTGACTGAGCTGAGCTCATCATGTAGTACTACGACATGGCCCGTAACTTTAAACCCGTAGAACAATGGCACGAAGCCTCAAGGGGTTAAATTACATGTTGATAACAGTATTTAAAAAAATAAACAAACATGGTAACAGAGAGATGGTTATGTATACTTACAGACTGCAGTCAGCAACAACTTGATCAATCAGGCAATCACTAGAAGCCTGACCTAAGTCTATGCAGCAGGTAGAACTTTAAAACCCATCACAAATATTTCACTTGTCAAAGATTGATTAAGTGTATGTAGTTATGTAGGTAGTGGTATTTCCTCCATACCATACTGAGCTGGTAGGGTAAGATTAGATTTTGTTCAGATTTTTAACCCCGGAGGCTTAGCCATCAATTCTCTAAATGTCAGTATGTCTATCATTACTTTCACTAAAACCTGGCTAAAACATGATGTCACAAACATCTATGCCATACCTGGCTACATGGCCAAACACAATTGTAGGCCAGATCAATTAGGTGGCACAGCTATATACAACTCTGATGAACTTGAATGTATAAAATCTACTTGCACTAGGGATGAATATGGTGAATATACATTTGCTAAATTTAAATCCAAAAACCTTAAAAAGCCTATGCATCCAAAATCAGTTTCTCCTGACTTACACAAAATATAATTACAGTATCTCCATTGCACAAATCAGTTATTATTATGCATTTTCCATTTTTTTTTTGCAAGACTCAATATTTTCTTGCAATAGGGAAAAATGTAACATAAACTAATGAAAGCAATTTAACCTTACTTTGCCATCAGTATATATGTGTCTATATTTGGCCAATCTGCAACACAGTACTAACTGTTGATTGGCTCAGATGAGCAGCTGCATAGTCCAACCTCCCAAGATAAACTATAGCCAATTAAATTATATATGTTTTTTTCCAGTGTCAGTCTCACTGTATCAATCTTAGACTGTACCAACTCACTGGGGTAGTCTGACTGTTGTTACTGTCACCTTGGGTCTCTTATCTATTCACCTATTTGTGATATATGTACACACAAGTTGGTTATAACTATGACCATAATTTTTATAGGGGTGGACCAGTAAGCCAGCAGAAGGCTTCAGTCAGATGACCAAAAGCTCCAACGGTGGGTCATTTGACTAAGACCCTCATCAGGAAACACTTGTCCTGTTTCCTGAGGAACCTTACCTACCTATTTGTGGTTGCTGGAGTTGAGTCTCAGCTCCTGGCCCTGCTTTTCCACTGGCCTCGATTGGTTTCCCTTCTTGCTGCATGAACCCTATCATACCTCTTCCTGAAACTATGTATAGATATCCCCTGGCCTGATAAGCAACACTCTTGCTTCACACACACGTGCCCATGGTTTGAGCCTTGGCAAGGGTGGAAACACTGGGTATGTTTCCTTACACTTACTGTCCCCATTCACCTAACAAGTAGGTACCTGGGTGTTAGTCGACAGGTGTGGGCTGCATCCTGGGGAACAAGACTGAGGACCCCAATGGAAATAAGACTGACAGTCCCTCGATGACACACTGACTTTCTTGGGCTATCCTGGGTGGCTAACCCACCAAGGTTAAAAATCCATGCAAAATCTTATCTTGTTCCTCTACCACTTTATTGTCTAGGTCATGTACCCCAGACCCACAGCATCAACAGACTTGCCCTGTTGATTCCTCACTGGTGTGTCCTTTTGTCTAACAAAGTCCTCAGGTTTTATACCCCGCAGCTCTGGGACTAGTCTAATGCAAACTTTTGAACTTTCTACAGTATCTTGACATGCTTAATAAGATGTGGGTTCCATACTGGTGCTACATACTTCAAAATGGGCCTGACAAATGTAGTAGTGTCATGATTTTTAGTAATACCTTCAAAACTATGTGCTACGGCCACAAAGGTCATACAGTAGTTGTGTCCTGAATGATTTATTAAAGTTACTGAAAATTATCCTTACATTTATTTTTTATACGTCCTTCCTTTGAAGCAAAATGAGGAAAAAAAGTATTAAGGTATGACAAATGTTGGTAATTAAGAACAAAAGTTTGAACAGAGGTGTGGATACCCACCTGGTCTTTACATCTGGCTCTGAGAGGTGCCAGCTGCTGCTCCACCTGGGGATCCATGGTGTCTTGGAGGGTCTGGAGCTGGATCCTGCGCTTAGCTATATGTTTCTTACTACCCCACCCTGGCTCCTCACCCTTACACCTTATCTGCACCAGCTGGGGTGAGCAACGACGTAGTTGGTTCAGTACACTGCGGGAGAAAGTAGAGAGTGACCAGAGGTTCCTCATGTGTCTACCAGTCAGGTTCAGTGTCAACACCACACGCCCGCACACGCCCGCGCACGCCCGCACCTCCTGCCACGTGCTCATCCATAATCAAATTCAAATTGAAGTTTATTACAACATTATACATTGTTCCTACAGAAATGGGTGAGACTTGAATGCATATTATTATTATTATTATTAAAATCAAGACTAAGCGCTAAACCCATAAGGGTTATACAGCTTGAATACATGTATACAGTGCATTTCGAGCAAGCTTAGTGAGTAAGTTTATTTAGGCACACGTATACATAAGTACAATTATACATTGTGTAAATTACCTAGAATAACCCAAAAAAGTCAGTAACTTATTTCCATTGAGCTAACTTGCTACTAAACTCCCTACCTGACCCTACGTCACAGCTTAGCAGAAATTATTTTTTATCTTGTGATTCAATTTACTCTGAATCAGTCATATTTTTAAATTTTAAATATTAAAGTGATAGATTCCAACGTGTGATATCAATGACAGATGCTTATAGACTGTGAAGTATTAACTCGCTGTTTGTTAAGAACAGTTTACATGCGAAAGTGATATTATAGTAAATAAAAAGCAAACATGATCTATACCCATTATTATTTATTGTTATAATCAAAAGGAAGCGCTAAACCTACTAAATAGACCCCAATGGAAATAAGTCACTCTGACTTTTTTGGGTTATCCCAGGTTCTCTACACATATGCTGCTATGTATGATAATTCTATGTAACTGTATTTGAGTATACCTGAGTAAACTTACTTACTTATAGTTGTTTGATACATCAGGTAATTTTGTTGGGGTGAAGAGTTAAAACGGCCTGAGGGCCGTATGAACCCTATGGAAGCCTCTTTCAAGTTTATTCTCTATAAGGGTTACAATGTGGGGTTTACAGGTTTTGGGTATTGTGTGGTTTACATGTTATAAAATACTAATTACAGAGGAGGCCACTAGGACACCTAGCATGGCTAGGCATTTCGAGCAGACCTAGATTAATTCTTAACATTAAATCCTTACAGATTATGGTATTAAGGCTAAGTGACTAAATCATAATTTGTGAGTTTAGCAATGTGAATGCTTTTGTTTTGGCACAATACAAGGTGTCTATATTGGAGTATCATAGGCAAACTTATGACTAGTTAGGATTTATTATTTTAAGATTAAGATTAGTATTTCTGGGTTTATAGTCAGTGGGTGAGTGAGTGTAATTTTGAACCACCAGGTGGTTATCATGTAGTTAGTTGTCGGGGTGTATCAGGGAGATAAGATGTTTTTTAACTGTAGTTTTGAAAGTGATGAATGTGTCTGCAGTTCTAGAGTTTTCAGGTAGGGTGTTCCAGATTTTAGGTCCTTTGAAATACATTGAATTTTTGTAAAGGTTTAGTCGAACACGGGGAATGTCATAGAGATGTTTGTGTCTGGTGTTATGCCTGTGGGTTCTGTCACAACTATCAAGAAAACGTTTTAGGTCAAGGTTAATATTGGAATTTAAGGTCCTGTAGATATAGATTGCACAGTAGTAAGTGTGGATGTTCTGAACAGGGAGTAAGTTTAGATCTATGAAAAGTGGGGGGGGGTGTTGCCAGGGATGGGATTTAGTGATTATTATTACTGCGGCTTTTTGTTGGGTTATTATTGGCTTTAGGTGTGTTGCTGCAGTTGATCCCCAAGCACAGATAGCACAGTGAGGTATGGATATATAAGTGAATGGTATAGTGTGAGAAGGACAGTTTGCGGCACGTAGTATCGTATCTTGGAGAGGATCCCCACCGTTTTGGATACTTTTTTTGTTATGTGTTGGATATGGGTGCTGAAATTTAGGTTGTTGTCGAGGTATAGGCCAAGGAATTTGCCCTCATTATGTCTGGTAATTAGAGTGTTGTCGATCTTAATGTTAAGTTCCGCAATATCTGCTCTGCTACCAAACATAATATAGTAGGTTTTGCCAGTGTTAAGTGTAAGTTTATTGGCTGTCATCCAAGTCGATATTTGAGCAGCTCCTCGTTAACAATGGTGTTGAGGGTGGCAAGATTAGGGTGGGAGATGACGTAAGTCGTGTCGTCAGCAAAGAGACTCGGTTTCAGGTGTTGGGATATGTTTGGAAGATCATTGATGTAAATGAGGAAGAGCAGGGGTCCAAGGACACTTCCCTGCGGAACTCCAGTATCAAGTGGCCGTATTGATGAGGCTGTCTTTAATGGAGACATACTGATACCTATTAGAAAGGTAGGATTTAAAATATGCAAGCACATGGCCTCTTATACCATAGTGGTCAAGTTTGTGGAGTAGGATGCCGTGGTCTACTGTGTCAAACGCTTTTCTTAGGTCAATAAAAATTCCTAGTGGATATTCCTTATTTTCCAATGCTGTGTAAAGCAGGTCTAGCATTTTTATAATTGCATCATTAGTGCTTTTATTTTTCCTGAATCCAAATTGGCAGGGGTTGAGTATGTTTTGTGACGTTATAAATGAATATAGTCTCCTGTGCACGAGTTTCTCGAAGATTTTGGATAGCAATGGTAGGTTTGATATTGGCCTATAGTTGTTTACGTCTGTAGGGTCACCACCTTTATGTATTGGTGTAACCCTTGCTGTCTTGAGTAGTGTCGGGAAAGTGCTAGTTTCTAGTGACTTGGTAAAAAGTAATGTAATAGCATACCATCCCCAACTTGGTATGGTCTGTAGTTGTGGATTGCTGTGTATCCTGGTAGTGGGTAGATATCTATTGTGTCCTGCTTAAGCCAGGTCTCAGTAAGAATAATGCAGGAGAAGGGTGTCTTTAGTGACTCAAGGAGTGCCAGGAGGTCATCATAGTGTTTGCTTAAGGACCTGATTCCCCTCAAGGAAGGTTCCTTGATGTTGGTGAGGGGTTCTTGATTTAGGGAATTGGATCTGTGCTCCAGTTCCCCAAATTAAGCCTGAATGCCTTCCACATCCCCCCCCAGGCGCTGTATAATCCTCCGGGTTTAGCGCTTCCCCCTTGATTATAATAATAATTAAGGACCTGATGTTGTAGTTAAGAACTGATAGACTTTGAGCAGTGTTCAGGATAGTTCAGGCAGTTACTTTCCAATAAGTTTTGATTGTGTGTTAGATTATGGAGGTTTAGATCAGGGTCAACGTGATCATTCATCTTTTAGGTTTAAATAGTGGTTGTTTATACCCTGTATAATGTGGTGAGTTCTAATACTGATTTCTGTAGTGGTGGGAGGTTTGGATAAGTATACCGTTAAAGCACTTTGGCCGTATAGAGTATAGCTACTAATAAACATAATGAAATTGATATTGTCTATGTGTTGTGCTAGAATGAGCTTTAGTACAACTAGGTATAAACTAATACTATAAAAAAAAAAAAATTCCAAGTGGCACCAGACTCACTCTTGTAATTGCACTAAGGTCTAATATAATGAATTTAGTGTTGTCTATGTATTGAGCTAGAATGATTATAATCAAGCTCGTATGATGATCATAATGCTAATAATGACAATGATGATAATAATAATTCAGTATTTTGTTACTTTTAAGCGATTGCTCTTTTAAGATATTCACGTATTCGTACACTAAACCATATATGCAACAACAACGATGAAAAACAAATGTTAAACTTCATATACAAGAATGGCTATAATTCAGAACATTAGCTATAGAAGAGATGTACTTTCTCCTTTCCCATCACGAGACTCAATATCATTCTCCCCATCACCACGAGACTCAATATCATTCTCCCCATCACCACGAGGCTCACTATCATTCTCCCCATCACCACGAGGCTCACTATCATTCTCCCCATCACCACGAGGCTCAATATCATTCTCCCCATCACCATGAGGCTCAATATCATTCTCCCCATCACCACGAGGCTCAATATCATTCTCCCCATCACCACGAGGCTCACTATCATTCTCCCCATCACCACGAGGTCACTATCATTCTCCATCACCACAGTCACTATCTTCTCCCATCACCACGAGGCTCAATATCATTCTCCCCATCACCATGAGGCTCACTATCATTCTTCCCATCACCACGAGGCTCAATATCATTCTCCCCATCACCATGAGGCTCAATATCATTCTCCCCATCACCACGAGGCTCAATATCATTCTCCCCATCACCACGAGGCTCAATATCATACTCCCCAACACCACGAGGCTCAGTATCAGTTTCCCCATCACCATGAGGCTCGATATCAGTCTCCCCGTCACCATGAGGCTCTTTATCAGTCTCTCTAACACCGTGACTCAGTATCATTTCCCAAACACCACGAGACTCAATATCATTCTCCCTCTGGGACTAGTCTTGTTGCAAACCTTTGCACTTTCTCTAATTTCTTGACGTGCTTGACTAGGTGTGGATTCCAAACTGGTGCTGCATACTCCAGTATGGGCCTGACGTAAATGGTATACAGAGTCTTAAACGAATCCTTACTGAGGTATCGGAACGCTATCCGTAGGTTTGCCAGGCGCCCGTATGCTGCAGCAGTTATCTGATTGATGTGCGCCTCAGGAGATATGCTCGGTGTTATACTCACCCCCAAATCTTTTTCCTTGAGTGAGGTTTGCAGTCTTTGGCCATCTAAACTATATTGTGTCTGCGGTCTTCTTTGCCCTTCCCCAATCTTCATGACTTTGCATTTGGCAGGGTTAAATTCAGGCTTGTAGCCTGTCCAGGTCTCTTTGTAGTCCTGCCTGATCCTCATCCGATTTGATTCTTCTCATTAACTTCGCATCATCTGCAAACAAGGACACTTCTGAGTCTATCCCTTCCGTTATGTCGTTCACATATACCAAGAACAGCACATGTCCTAGGACTGACCCCTGTGGAACCCCGCTTGTCACAGGCGCCCACTCTGACACCTCGTCGCGTACCATGACTCGTTGTTGCCTCCCTGTCAGGTATTCTCTGATCCATTGCAGTGCCTTTCCTGTTATGTGTGCGTGATCCTCTAGCTTTTGCAGTAACCTCTTGTGAGGAACTGTGTCGAAGGTCTTCTTGCAGTCCAAAAATATGCAGTCGATCCACCCCTCTCTCTCTTGTCTTACTTCTGTCACCTTGTCATAAAACTCTAGTAGGTTTGTGACACAGG